TAACGGGTACTTTACCCCCAAAAATAAAGATTTTGTTCTCTAAGCCCCCAAAACATAAAACTCAAAAGATTAAAATATGTGAAGACCATAATATTCTTCTCTCTCTCTTTATCATGATGTTACTCATAGTTGAAATGATTGATGGGCATTATTATTTTATTATTTTTTAATTTTTTTATTTTCGTTGTTGATGAGAGGAACTAACTGTTTTGTTTATATTAGGAGATTGTTAAGGTTACGGGTTTAAATGTTAAAATTATGGTTCCCTTCTCTCTCTCTCTCTCTCTCTCTTATCATGATGTTATTGTGATGATAGTTAAAATGATTGATGGGCATTGTTATTTTATTATTTTTGTTTTTTATTATTTTTATTTTTTATTATTTTCGTATTTTTATAATATTCGTTGTTAAGATACTTGTTTGTTATAAAAGTTATGCATTGGTTGTGAAGGTTACAGTTGGTTGTTAAGGTTACGGGTTAATTGTTAAGGTTACGGGTTAGTTGTTAAGGTTATTTGTTTGTTGTGTAGGTTACATGTTAATTGTCAAGGTTACGGGTTTAATTGTTAAGATTACGGGTTTAATTGTTAAGGTTATGGATCTCTTCTCTCTCTCTCTCTCTCTCTCTCTCTCTCTCTCTCTCTCTCTCTCTCTCTCTCTTATCATGATGTTACTGTGATGATGGTTGAAATGATTGATGGGCATTGTTACTTTATTGTTTTTGTTTTTTATTATTTTCGTATTTTTAGAATATTCGTTGTTAAGGATAATGGTTGGTTGTAAAGGTTATGCGTTAGTTGTGAAAGTTACGCGTTGGTTGTTAAGATTACGGGTTGGTTGTTAAGGAAATGGGTTTGTTGTGTAGGTTACGGGTTTATTGTTAAGGTAAGGATATGCGTTGGTTGTAAATGTTACGATTTGATTGTGAAGTTAACCTACACAACAAACCTGTAACCTTAACAATTAAACCCGTAACCTTAACAATTAAACCTCTAATCTCAACAATTAACCCGTAACATACACAAGAAACACATAACCTTAACAACCAACCCGTAATCTTAACAACAAACATGTAACCTTCATAGCCAATGCATAACCTTTACAATCAAAATGATTGATGGGCATCGTCATGAATATTTTTAGAATATTCGTTGTTAAGGATAATGGTTGGTTGTAAAGGCTATGCATTGGTTGTGAAGGTACGGGTTGGTTATTAAGGTTACGTGTTAGTTGTTAAAGTTATGGGTTTGTTGTGTAGATTACGAGTTAATTGTTAAGGTTACGGATCTAATTGTTAATGTTACGGGTTTAATTGTTAAGATTATGGGTTTATTGTGTAGGTTAACTTCACAACCAAAGTGTAACATTCACAACCAACGCATATCTTTAACAATTAACCCGTAACCTACACAACAAACCCATAGTCTTAACAACCAACCCGTAACCTTAACAACCAACCCGTAACCTTAACAACCAATGCATAACCTTTACAACCAATCATTATCCTTAACAATTAACAATTAAATCTGTAACCTTAACAATCTCCCAATACAAACAAAAACAATTAGTTTTCCCATCAACAACGAAAATAATAAAAAATAAAAATAATAAAATAACAATCCTCATTAATCATTTTAACTATCATCACAGTAACATCATGATAGAGAGAGAGAGAGAGAGAAGGGATCCATAACCTTAACAATTGACCTGTGACCTTAACAATTAAACTCATAACCTTAACAATTAAAACCGTAACCTTAACAATCTCCCAATACAAACAAAAACAATTAGCTCCTCTCATCAACAAAGAAAATAATAAAAAATAAAAATAATAAAATAACAATGCCCGTCAATCATTTTAACTATCAGTAACATCATGATAGAGAGAAAAAGAGGGGTATTATGGTCTTCACATATTTTAATCTCTTGGATTTTGTATTTTGGGGCTCAGAGAACAAAATCTTTATTTTTGAGAACAAATCCCTCGTTTATATAGTCTTGGAGGGGAGCACGTTTTTTTGGGTTTTGGGGGCTAGAAGCATTTTCCCCTAAATTTTTATAGAAGGATATTTTAGATTTTTATCATAATGGATTTTTAAAAGATATTTCTCATATTCTAATAATGATAACTTAAAATAATTATATGTTACTTTTTACAGTTTAAAATATTATTATACAATAATGAAGTAATAAAAGTATTTAAGTGTCAATTTAGCCTTGATTTTTTCACTTTGCAGTTATATGAACATGGAACCGAGAAGTGAGTGACCATTGACGTGGCGTGTTTTTATTGGTTGAATAGGGTTACGTGGCATTTAGCGTACATGTTAGGGGTTGTTTGGTTCCTTGTTTTTTAGGGAAATGCTCTCTTGAAAGCTTGCCAAAAGTACCACTTTTTGGCAGGCTTTCAAGCAAAATCGTGTCTTTTAGAGGCTATTTTACTAAAAGCCTGCCAAAGAAGTGACACTTTGGCAGACTTTCAAGAGAAAAAATTTCTAATCAAACGGACTCTTATCGTTGATAGTCGGTCCTATGTTTGCGGAAAACGACAAGAACCCCAGCAAAAACTTCTTTTTTGAGCCGGATTCACTCTAGGCTCAACTCCAAATAATCTCATTAAATTGTGCATGAACTTTAATTGATTTTGTTCAAAACAATAAGATTGAACATGATTAAGCTTTTTAATTTCATAATTATACTTGATTAAAACAATGAAAGCTCCATGAGTTTGAATATCATGCACATTTTCGTTATGTACTTTGAAACTTAAGCTAAAATTAAGAAGACCTCCCCTTAACTTGGATGGTTATCAAAATAACCCCCGTTAACTTTCAAAATATCAACAAACCCTTAATTTTAGTGGTTATAAGAATTTTTTTTAAATCTATGGTTTTATCAGAAATCCTCCCTTATGTTTACTTTAATTTTTTTATGGGTTGATAAAATTAGACATTGAGATATTTTTGCCAGTGAAAATTATAGTTGGTACTTTTAAGACAATTGTCTAATAAAATATAAATGTTAAAGAGATTTTTCTAGCTAACCCTAAACATAAGAAGGTTTCCAATATATTGAATATTATGAGGGTTATCTGATGATCGTGAAAGACATGAGGGGTTTATGAAATTTTGCCTTAAAAGCTAAACTATTATCAAAATTTTATATTTGTTTGGTTGCACAATCTCGATGGTGATTCATTATCCTCATGAAGTTACTAGAGGTTAATATTGAATTTATTAAGTGAGCTTGGGAAGCTTTTACTACTTTTTTAAAGGGTTTTTAGATATTAGCCCCTTACATAATAAGTGTAGGCGTCAAAAAATGCTGAAAGGAATCCAAACACAGCTCAAAAAGAAGTCATCCAAAATGTCAAAAAGAACACAAGTATAGACTGTCTCGCATGCGAGACAGTCTTTACTGTCTCGCACGCGAGACAGACTTGACTGTCTCGCCGTGCGAGACAGTCTTTACTGTCTCGCAGGGCGAGACAGACTTTTACTGTCTCGCCCACGCGAGACAGTCTTCACTGTCTCGCCCACGCGAGACAGTCTTTACTACTGCCGCGCCAATAGCCGCGGCAGTGTAGACTGCAGCGGTCAAAGATAGTTCGTCTGATCGGTTATTTCGCTTCCATCTCAACTGTGGTGTATTGCTACCCCTATAAATACCCCCTATGGCCATCATTGACGGGGGCGGAGCATTTCCAGAGCAGATTAGAGCAGAGAGCCTTGAGTTTTGGTGAATTAGAGCAAGAGAGAGAGTCTTCCTTCTTCACAAACATCCTCAAGAAGCTTTTGGCGATTCCTAGAGATCTAAGCTCTGACTTGATCTTTAGAAGAGTGAACATCTTACATCGATAAGATATTCGCTTCAAATTCTTACTTCGATAAACGAAGGAAGAATCATTAAACCCCTCACGATTCAATCAGAATCTGTGATTTGGTGGTCCACGAGTCAAAGCGCTCCCGGCACAGGCAAAGATCTCACGCAAGCAGCGATCCAAACAACGATCCTGCGTTTGTTTCTAAAAAGTTGTAATTTTCTATTTGTTGTGTAAAAGGAGTCTTATAAAAAGACTATCTCTTTTGAATTTATTGTAATCGACTGAAGATATAATGAATTCGACAACGAGAGCAACTTTTGACGCAAACAAGCTGGCGACCACAGTGGGAGCCAACGGTCTCGTTGTCGAGACCGTCGTGTCGCAGCCAACCATCAAGATCCCGGTTGAATCAACGGTCGAGTACGAGTTTGACCAAGCGAAGTTTGAGGAGTATTTATCATCCTCATCTGTAAAGTCTTCCTCGCCTCGCAAATGCAGGAAGGTTTCATCTTTGTTGAAGTTGTCAAACACTACGGATGAAGACTCTCGCTTAATTGTTGTTGAGGATTCTACTCGCAATCTCTCTGCTCATAATGACTCTTCTTCAATTAAGGAGTCATTAAATCAAAGCCCGACGGCATTGACGAAAAGAGCTCGTCAGAGACAACGCCAACGCCGCGCTCGCCAAGTGGCTAAGGCCTTGGAACAACCCGACGGAGTTCGTTATCATGCGGACTTAGAGTCGAGGAGACATCGAGTGGTTCAGTTGTCTCAACGACCAATCACTTATGTCTCTGCTAAACTCACGACGGAAGAATGGACTATTGTCA